ATATATAGAGTTACTCTAAATCCATAATCACCACCTTATACTCTAATAATATTAATAGATAGGATCGGACTGTAGATCCTGGGCGTTTTGGTATTAGAGCCATACAGTAGAACTGTCTAACAGTGGAACTGTGTAAATAGTTAGACTGTCAAAACAGTAATACTGTTCTTTAACAGTAAAACTGTGAGTAAGAGATAAAATTTACATTTTTACTAAAGAAACTAAATTAAATTTACATCCGAGAAAGTTGGTCCGAGAGTTAAGACAAGAGACAAGGGATAGTCTATTGCAAAGTACCGCCAAGGCCAGGAAGAGCCGCTTAGGGAAAACGCTGGACCCCTGAATGTCCAGATTGTCATTATCCGCAACCTAAGGATGGCAAATTTAATCAGGAATCTTACAAGTAAGAATGCAACTTCATCTCAGACACTTAGAGTAAAAAACAAGGAACAAATTATTATAAATGACATTGAAGAAAATATTCAAAATTGGAATATACCTAAGGTACCAATACATGACATTTACCATAAGGGATCTTTTAAATTCAAGATGGGATATGCCATCAAAACAGTAGAAGAGAGTTTATCTGTCACTCAAAATCAAGAAGACTTTCAACTACTATCAAGAAAAGTTATTGAAAAACATAAAGAAAATAATTACAAATATTTACACATTGGTCTTATACAAATAGCAGTAAAACCTTTGACCCGACTAGGGTTGAACACTTCTGTGCTTGTATGCCTAAGAGATACAAGACACAATATCTTCACAGACTCGCTACTTGGCATGGTCGAATCCAGCCTTTGTAGTGGCCCAATATATTTTAATTGTTTTCCAAATTTTTTAGTCTCTTTAACTGATCCAAATATTCTAGACATATTAACAATAAATTTAAAAACTCATGGTTTTAATATGATCCATGGTTCTCAAAATCTAGCAATAGTATACAGAATATATTATAAAGTCATGAATACCTTATGTCCAAATATCATGAAAATTGATCAAAAAGATCAAACCATATTATTCCAAACAAATATGGAAAAATCCAATATGATTGTACCCAAAACCATTAAGTGGTCAGATATTATCCTACCACAGTCATGGGCATTACAGCATGCAAATCAGCCCCAAGAAGTACCAAAAAATAGTATTCCAAATCAAATAATTGAACATCCAGATGGTAATATTGAAATAAAATTTCAACAATTACAAGTACACGATGATATCAATATCAATAGAAAAAGGAATATAAACAGTAAAATACCAAGTAGAAAATCTTATTCTACTAATCCTGATGTTATAATATTACCTCCTCCTACCCAATCTTCTTCTTCAATACCTCATTCCGATTTACACTTCCAAGGAATAAGAAGAACAACTGATCATGTTGTTATTCCTACATATACTCCTGAATCAAGTATAGCAAATACTCCTGAATCCAGTATAAAAGATTTCAAATATTAACTTTGCAAATCGAAGATAATAAATCCATATGATCAATATTCTGACGAATATATGGCAGCATATTTAGCAGCCAAATTAGAAAGGAAACGGAGAAAAATTAATAAAGAATATATCAGAAAAGATTATTTATCTGAAGAAAATAAACATATTCGGGAATGGTATTTAAAAACATTTCAACCTAGATTAATAGAATTAATGCATAAAAAATATAATAAATTTCTTAAAAGAGAAAGATTAAACCAAGGATTTTTTATATGGTTAAAAGATGTATGTACTCAATATAATATTACTATTCCTCTATTTGATAATATTCAAACAATAGAAGAAAAAACTTATATTAGTACAGATGGTACAACCACTGCTAGTACTCATCCACCTGAAAAAAGTATAATATTAAAAGCAGTCATGCCAAATAAGGATGAACCACTACAACCACATTCAATATATGATATTATTCCCACTCCATATAAAGTCTTACCCAATATATATATATATATATATATATATATATATATATATATAGAGTAGTAGTACGTAAGTAAGTAAATAAAATAAAAAGTACGT